GTATATGTGTAGGATGATACTTCCTTGGCGGCTGCACCGTCAATTTCAATCTGGCTTTAGTTGGCTCATTCCTCATGAACTGGGTTTCCGCTCGGTGTTCGCAACCCCGCTTTCTTGCCTGCTTAGTCCAGCTCTGTAATCACCTCTGCCTCTGCGGACTGCTTGAAAAGAGGACAATGTCGTTCGCGAAATGGAGGTTCGAGGGTATCGTTTGTCGATTATCAATCGTCTGAATACCTTTCTCGTCCCAGCTGAGCGACTCTATGACCCATTGCAGTGTTGCGAGGAACACCTACGAAGTGATAATATCTTCTTGTCTCACGCCCTTCTCCACGGGAGTAGTGTGAGTCTTAAATACAGTAAGGTTGAACTGCAGCGGCGACTACAATCTGCAGTTCTCATATAACACGGCTCTACTCCTTGGTCGACTAGCGCCCAGAAGATCGATTCAATCTCGACACTGTCGAAGGCTCTCTCGTAGTCAGTGAAGTTCAGGACTAGGAGCAATCGAAATTCTTGGCACACTTCTATGACCGTAGCAAATGACTGAACGTGAACAGCAGCTGAACCCTCTGTGGAATCAAGCTTGCTCATAAGGTTGCGCTCCGTCCGGTGTTCGCGATTTGTGCACCGGAATGATCTTCGTAAAGAGCTTTTAGAGGACACTGAGCGAGCCAATGGGCTGGTATTTGCGAAGATTTAGCGGTCATCTTCCCAACTAGTCTGGAATTCTTTCCTCTTGAAAGTAGGACGTCACGTGTTCTGCAATAAGCGTATGAACTTCGTGGCCAGCAGCTCGAAACATATCGATATTGTCGGGTCCTGGCGCTATGTCACTGCCTGCAATCGCCGTATCTTCGAGGCCAGAAATCGAGGTGCTTCACCTCTCATAGCGATCATTGCGTCCCGTGCGTGTGTTGTGGAGGTTAGAGGTTAACGTAAATCCGTCCCCCGTCACGTCATCTCCTCCATTTTCAAGCGGAGATAGGTAGGCGTTCCATCTTCTCTTTGGCGTTCCAACGTCTCTTCCCAGGCAAGAGGGAGGAGTACTATGGTCTCGAAGGTTTTGCCAGCGTTCAACGGAGTTGTTTTCCTTCCCAGTAGAGTTGGAGGTCACGCTACATCGCTTGCCCACAACCGAGGATGCATGCAGCTTCTCAATACGTGGTGTTCCAGTTAGCCATCTGCTTCTCCTAGCTCGGATAAGAACATTGATTGCTACCGAGAGGCGACAAACGGAATCCGATCGGCCGATTCAAGCCTCGAAGCAGCGTATAGTAGTCTTTTTTCGGATGTTCCTCATAGTGCCAGTAGTATTGCCAGAGAAAAAAAACTATCTGAACATTTAAAGTTCTTCTTTGCACACGAGGTTGTTAGGTGGAACTTTATTATGGCCTGACGTTTCGACTGTTTGTTTGGACACTATCTAAACATTATCGAAACACTGGTGATATGTCAAAGAGCTACTCTGAAAATTGCAGCATTGAGTAATACTTCTAGAGATTTTTTCAGTATCTATTAGAAACCACTCGATCCCTAGGTTGTAGAAGCACCACTCTTTACGGGTATTTCGTTCGAGAAAAAAGCAAAGCCAAAATCAAATTAGCAAAACGCACATTTACCTGCATGTATTCTACTACATGTTTCGAGGAGGAAGAACGGGATGCCGGTCCAACAGCAAGCGGTCCATGACGTACTACGCTGGTTTCCTCGTAACTGCCCTCCCCTTTTCGATCGAGCAAATTGGAGCCCTAAATAAAGCATGGCATTGTGAAGAATGGACGTTACGAATCTATCTGATATTGTGATCTTAATTTTTTTCGTCTTCAACAAGACGTGTTTAGGTGTGTGGTCGCACAAAGGTACGTGATAACGCGTCCTCCCATCCTCAATTTTCAGGCGCATTTCGGCCAAGGGGGTTGTGCAGTGGCGAGTGACGCGCTTACCATTTGCGCTGTCCTTCAAAGAAAAGGTTCGGACTCCCGCTTAGGGCATACAAGCCTCCCACTCTCTTAGGGTGGTGGATTGTATTTCATCCGGGAGGATAAAACACTGACTTTCCCATCGGCTGCCGCCCCCTCCTGCCCCAAGTCATTGTATAGACCACATCGCATTCAAAAAGCCACTACAATTCTGAATGAAAGCAGGATGCGTGCCGCATGTCACTAAGCGATTAAACAACTGTGACGAGTTTGTCACTTTCAATTTACCTGAGATCACATATTTACTTGAGAAAGTAACTTCTGAGAATAATATCTATAATACTGTACCAGAAAAACGTCCGTTTGCCGCGCCATCAGTGCTGAGCTATCAAGTTTTTGGGCAGCATTTTCACGTAGTACACGTCCGTCTCTTTCTTTTCGTTCGCTTACTGACTGAGACACTTCACTGGTACGCTCGACGCTTTTCGTCTTTGTTGACTGGCCGGTACCTGGAAATGGGGCATAGAAAATATTCACCTCACGAGTTGAAACACTTCATTCCGTGATTTGCCAACGATATCTCAAATAAACGTTTCTTATGTAGTGGCACGAGAATGAACATCCTATCTATTTGTCTGTGCTTAGGCTTGCTAACTACTTCATCCAACAGTTTCGTTGACTATTTGTTCATTTGCTTTGTTTCTGATGCACATTCCGTAAGTGCAAATCGTGGGTAGTGAGCTTCGACTTTGAAGTTTCAGGTGCCAACAGAGCTAACAGTGAAGAAAAAAAGCGGGGCTGGTCCAAAGTGCCTCGAGAGTCTATGTATGCTGATATGGGGGTGACCAAAAAGTTCCGGCATTGTTTGAAATAAGCTTCGTAGTGTTCAAAAAATGGCCATCCTTTCGCTGGTATACATTGTAGCTTGCGTCGCTTTCCGAAGTGTCCGACAGTGGTCGCGCATTCTTCTACTGTAATTTATCCCAAGCACGCAGCAATGCCGCTTTCAGGGGGTCCACCGTTGCGTACAGATCACTGACTAGGGAAGGTCGTCAGGTCGAAGTGGCCATTTGTGATGAGATGTAGATCACTAGACGTGGTTTTGGACGCTGATCTTGAATCTGCCTTCAAAATTTGCAAAGCGATTCTCTGAACGGAGTTATGGAGCCGCGTTTACCACGCAACAGGTCATGGGATCGGATCCCTGCTGAGCTTAACTTTTTTGCTTGTTGCGCAAACGTGGCAAAAAGTGATTTTGCCGTCACTACTACTTCAGTTCTCACCTGAGCTTGTCTGAAGAAAAGTTTGCCTCCATTTATTACTGCGCTTGGACTCCTTGTAGAAGCACTGTAGTGCACTGTAGTCTACAAGGAGTCCAAGCGCAGTAATAAATGGAGGCAAACTTTTCTTCAGACAAGCTCAGGTGAGAACTGAAGTAGTAGCAGTGACGGCAAAATCACTTTTTGCCACGTTTCGCAACAAAGCAAAAAAAGGTTTTGAAAAGGCCTTTCCCAGGCGGCAACAGGGATCCGATCCCATGACCTGTTGCGTGGTAAACGCGGCTCCATAACTCCGTTCAGAGAATCGCTTTGCAAATTTTGAAGGCAGATTCAAGATCAGCGTCCAAAACCACGTCTAGTGATCTACATCTCATCACAAATGGCCACTTCGACCTGACGACCTTCCCTAGTCAGGATTTTCTTGCTCTTAATGAGGTAATCCATCGGGTTTGGACAAGCGGATGGGAGGCCACGCGTCCTTGCCCCAAATCCCGGAAGTAGCTCTTCACAAACGGCAATCGTGGATTTGACTGAATGTGTTAGAGCCAGTCTTCTGAATCACAAATCCTCATCCAGACCCGAAATGCCGTGCCGACACCCATGGCTTTCAGTATATCGCGAAGAAAAGCGTTGTTGTTAGTTGACAGCATTCGTCTTAACATTTGCTCGACGAAGACAAGGCCAGGCGTCTTTCTGGTGCGCATCAGATCCCCCTCAGACAATGATTAAGCTGCCAAAGGGCTTGCAGTCCGACGCACATTCGCTGCCATTGTCTTCTGCTGACCAATTCTGAGGAGCTGACAACAGTCCCACTAGTTTTGATCAGAAATTTTTTTCTTCGGTGGACACATCCTTCAACAACCAGCACCGACCAGAAGATGAAACCTCACCAACTGTGACCTTTTAACTTCCTTAGAGGCACTGTGAGGAGAAATCGAAAGTGATTGAATAGATGACTCATACAATATCGGAACTGCCTGCGAAATGCAATGATCTATCGGAGAGAGAAAAGACTATGACGACCACTTAAGGGACGCGCGAACACGAAATTACCATAACTTTTGGTCACCCTGTATTATGTGTTATTAGGTTGGTATGAAAGTCGCACACCGTACGCCTTTTCTTTTCTAACAAGTATCACTTTACTGTTACTAAATGTCAGTCGACAAAATAGTGACCGCCCACGCCCTACCACATACGGATACTCCACTAACGAGGCTACCAATGTAAGCTGTTCATTGCAGAAGTCCAGAAATAAATGGTCTAGTTGAAGATGCGCGATTTTATCCCAGTAATCCTGATCATGGTATTCTTTCACTTGTTGGAGAACTTTTGCTTGACAATTTCTCTAGCGCTAGATATGCAAAGGCGATCACAACGGTCATCAATTTGTTGAATAATATAATGTAGCGTGAAAATATAGTCGTACAATATAATCGTCTAAGACTTTCGAACCGACCCGTTATGAAGGTGTTTATAGTGAAGGACATGTACGAAGTGCGTTAGCACCATCGCGCACGTCCTTCACTAAGAAGATCTTGTGTTCCGAAAAATGGAATTCTGTGAGCGCTCCCCCGAGCACACTACGAGGTCGGATCCCTCCGGAAGCTCTAAAGAAGGTAGGTGACAGGGTCGCTGATTTTCTCGATACCTCTCCTCTATGATTTTCTCAGTATCTCTCCGTCAGCTGTCTGGTGATGGAAATCGTAGTGGTGAGCTTTCCAGGAGTAAAGCGCGACTGCACACGTGAGATAGGGACAAGCCCCTTAGCCGTGTGATGAAGGGACAAGCTTCTTAACCATGTTATGACTAATCGCTTGTACAGCTCCATGTAATGTGCAGTATATTTGATGTCACTGTTATGGAGCAGTCCGTCTTGCTTCTATTCAAGTATTGGAAGGATTACGCTGCTTGGCCACGCCGGCACGGCTGAGTGAATGGGTGAGCCAGCTCACCCCATGTTCTCCAAGGACTTCCCATGCTTCAACTAACCCCGTCTAGACCCACTGTCTTCAAAACCTTCACTTCTCCTAATTCTCGGAGGACCTTAGCCGCTGTCTAAATGAAAAAGAACCTGCCGTTCCTCCAGAGGTAGGCGGTTCTCACAGGGAATCGTTTGATCACGCGTGCCGTCCATTTTTTCCACTTCCGTGAAATCGGCTCTTTCCTTAACATGGCATCGTTGCAGCTCTTCACAGTGCCTCCAAGTTCGGTCTCCTTCAAATCTTAGCATGTAGTTACCACTTGATGTATCTGCGCTGCACAAAGTTTCCTATGATGGAACCGTTCACTGTGTCCGATTCGTCGTTTGCGAAGGCCCGAACTGAGCCGATGGGCCCTCATTTGTGATCACGGTCAGACGTTATCCTTCTTGGCTAGTCAGCAAATCTCAGGAGCTCGGGACGAAACAGGAACTCCAAGAAACTGATCAGCCGGCTCCACCACTACTCTCACCCATTCGATGACGTAAGTAACTCGTAAATGAGACACCAATGACATAAGTGACGTATATGTCTCATAAACCAACAGTGACAAAGGAGAATTCACTTGTAACTGACATGTATATATTCCGATTGTTCAATTTCGGATTTTGCACGCGGATGAAGAAAGCTCGAAGCGCCATTCTAGCACCGTTATCGTCTTCGTACATAGAACGAGGCACGTGCATTTGAATTTTGCCGTGATGTCCTTCTAAACGGTGCTCAGCAAGCACTGGTCTCTACGCCTCTTACCTGCAAGATTCTCATCAACGCGTAGGCCCTGCATTGCTGCCCGTTTAACCAATATAATGTTATCCACAGACTGCGCACCGAAGTTTGTAGACTACGACACGGTCCACAATCTCCAGCCTTTCCATATGGACAAATCAGACCGTTCTTCTTGGTGGACGTACGGTCATAAGGTCTGTTGAGGAGAAATCGACGCTTGATGCTTTCTCCCGGTATATTCATCAGGACGATATCGTTGGATAGGTCTGCCCGTGCAAGACACTGGGGAGTAGATGCGCTGACTGTATTCGATATGAAAGGTAGTTCATGATATAGCAGCTTCCGTTGTTCCTTTGAGGATACTGACGTAGCCTGATCTCCCAAGCTGCTGGTCATAGCCGTTCATCGTTGCTATCTCCGATGCCAGTCTTCGTGACTATGAATGTCTCCTATTCCTGGTACACAGGTCAGAATATCTGGTGGAACGTGTAACGTCAAGTGGTATCGTAAGAGCAGCTCTAGAAACATCCTTATTGACGCAAAGTCCGCATATCGCTGGGCTGTGAAGGAAGCTGTTATTCATAGCATGTATCGAACAGCTATTGTAGTTTGTACAGAT